TCGCAAGCAAGCTGAAGACAAATTTGAAGAATTGCGTGGGGCGGACTATTGGTTTATTGAAAATAGATCAGATGGTATGAAAGGAGAGGAATTGAAAGATGAATTTCAGTTCAATGGTTGGCTCGATGACGTTCCCAAAACAAACAGATCAAAGATCATTAGTCTTTCGATAAAAGTCGAAGGTTGGTTGTTAGTCATAAACTTAGTTTGAGTATGTTTATGTCTTAACGCTCACATATTTTACAGGGATGAGGTCTTATAGTGACTGGAACTTGGGTGACATTACTCATGCTCTCACTGGAGTTAAGATAGAAGATGTTACCGAGCTTGCTGTTCTGAAAATGGGTATGATTCTGATATTTTCGCTTTTGTGACAATAATATTGTGATATATTCTTAGTTCATTTATTATGTTCATAGATGATTTTCCGACATTTTCAGGCGCAATTTCTGATGATATTCTGGATGGGTTCTTCGCAGAAATCAATGCTAAGCTTGCCGCATTCCGGACGGCACCCATTGTCCGAGAGTTCGTCTCTCCGTTTATGACCAGAGCTGTGCTAATTATGCAAGAAAGGGAACCTTTATTGCTACTGAATGCCAAGCGTAAGCTCAAGGGAACCCGTGGTTATGGTCCAGTCGACTATTCTGTCAGTAAGAACGAAATTGTCATTCTTGTTACGGAAGCGAAGAATGAGGACTTCCGTCAAGGTGCAGCAGAAAATATTGCACAAATTCATAGTGCTGTTGAGGTAAATCCTACTCTTTTATAAGTCACCTTTATCATTTTTGTAATTCGTTGTAAAACGTTTTAAAACTTTTGTAGCATTTGGAAAAAAAACGTAAAATTGATGCTACTGCTGACAGGCTTCGCGCTGTTATGTATGGAATTGTAACTACTGGAACTGAATGGATGTTTATCCGATGGGCTGGAGATTCAAAAAACCCGACAATTGAATTGACGCCGAAATTTACATTCGCTCTTAACGAATCGGCAAAGTCGAGAGTAATTCTGGAGCACATTGCTGGGATCATTGAAGTACAAGTTGCGAGCTTGGACGATACGAATAAAAGAATTCGAATTGGCGGGAATGACGATTCGACTTAATAGCCTTTAACATGGAAAGTACATAGTCATAATGATAGTTTCACTTAACGTTAAAAAATAGTTTATCATAGGATAACTGTAGATAGCGCTTGCTCTTAATTTTACATTCAATACAATAAAAGCTCTTGATAGCGGAACCTAGAACATTGGGAAGAAAGGCATAGCATTAGATTTATCAAAAATAAATCACTGGTCCTCTACGTAGAAGAAAACCAGACAAACTGTACATAAAATTATACATATAGTGGATAACAAGAATATGAATGAATATCAGAAAGCTCTTCATTTTTTAGAAGTAGGCTGTGGCTGCGGTTGCTCTGCCAAGGTACCGAGAGAAGAGTTTGCTGAATTACGTGAGGCGTTTCAAGCTCTCTCTAGATCCGAGCAAGATATATTTTTAATGGCCCAGTTGAAAGCGATGAATGGTGGAGAAATAACCGCCAGTCGACGTCTTAAAAGAAAACGCGTGCTAACAAGAGAACCTTTTATTATTGAGATCGCAATACGCCGCTTTGTCAAAAAATGTATCTCAATATGTTGGGAATTGGTCGCACTCATTTGGAAAACGTCAGAAATCACCTAGCGACGAATGGTATCATACCGCGCGTTCATGGTAACATAAAACGAAGAATTTTCTCGAAAACTATGCTGAAATTCATGGATTACCGAGTCCGGGTAGAAATGTCAATCGCATTACTCAATCACTTACACTTTTGCCAGCTGAAACAAGTTACAAGTCTGTCTATCGTGATTTTATTGCAGGTCTCGAAAATGATAGTACGTTGAAATTGTTAAAGTATGATGCGTTCCGCAAGTTATGGCACCAATTAACGCCTTATATTCAAATCATGAGTCCAAGAACGGATTTATGTGACACGTGCCAACATTTTCGGAACGGCTTACAATATAATGCTCGCAAGGAAGAAGAAGCGAAGGATTTACTAAAAAGATTCAAAGACCATTTAGCTAAGGCTAAATTAGAGAGAAGCTATTACAATAAAAATACGAAGCCAGCAGAACAACAGAGAAACCTGGTAGATGAGCATTTTACAACAGGCGGTAAGGCTGATTATTGTAGCGTCGGCGCGACTGCTCATTACAGTTGCGATTGGGCACAAAACATTCACGTGCCCCATTCCGATCAACAAGTAAGTAAGATTTACTATCTCAGTCCGCGTAAAGTGCATTTGGTATTCAAGATGAAGCAGTACGCGAACAAATTAATTATGTTCTCGATAAAGACGAAATTATTGGCAAAGGCCCTAATGGCACGCTAAGCATGGTATTCGATGGAATTAAGAGATTGAATGAAGGCGAAAAAAATTTAAAAATTACTTGTGACAATGCGGGTGGACCATAAGTTATGATGAGCACCATTATTACTTTCAAACATCATCAGTCACACTGGTCAAGTTTACAGCCACATCACAATCAGCATCTCATTCACTTTGTCTGGTTTGTTGCAGCATGCTCCATATATTATTATTATATTATATATGACACCTTCATGAGAGATAGTGTACGTTGTACATTGTGGATGTCAGACATATAAATCAATAGAATTCATATTAGACACATATTTCCACAATTTTTTACCAAAATGCAAATGTTCAACAATGTAATGTAGTAAATTATTTAATAGTAATAGTGTCAGTTAGAGATTCATCATCTTGGCCTAAATTCTTGACGACTTTGTGTACGCCTTTTACAAATAATTCGTCTTTGACGTCGGAGATTTCTTAAATATTTTAACATCGGAATGTTTTTGAATAATTTGGGAAAGCATGTATTTTTCAGAAAAGTTTGAAATTAAATACACGTAATATCTAAATTATTACTATTAGGTTCGCAAAAAAGAACGTTGAATAGCATATTTCGTATCTTCTATACCACAAGGGCGAATATTGCATTTGATAGCTGGCTCGAACATCGCTTTTAATGCTTGCAAATCCGTTTTATTTGAACTCATAAGATTTGTCGTTGAGTAATCCAGTAAAAGCTTCTTCTTTTTTTTAAGAACGTCTTTGACAGTTTCTCGTGATGGTGCTAAAGGCATTGTTAAATAATGTGGAAGAAGATGAGGAAGATGCTGCTGGTTGAAAAATGCGATAAACTTTGAAACCAACTGAGAAAGAAGACATTTTATGAATGAATTTATGAAAAATATAATAAAGAGTTTGGTTGTGTATAGTCAACCGCGCTCCGAATTAATGTCCAATCAGAAGCATTTAACGTAACACAAAATTTTACGCACATAAATTCACCACCAAAAAGGATAACTTCGAAATAATGTTGGGGAAATTTTGTCGGTGAAATGTTGTTGGGGAAATTTTGTCGGTGAAATGTTTGCTAATGGATGGCCTCTTCCTGGTTGCTGGAATAAATGTCCACCTTGGGATTCATAACATCAGTTACATACACCCCCCTGCCAAAAGTATACAGTAAATACAAATGTCAATCATCTGAGATATGATGTATGATTATGCTATTACAAATCCAATTTTCTCAAATATGCACATAATAAACATTGATAAAAGTTAAGTCAATCAACTCTATAACAAACGCTCTTTTTAATTGCATAGTTAATATGGAGTAGCACCCCCTTTTGATTTCAATAAAGCTTTAACTCTTCGAGGCATACTATCAACCAATTTAATGATTACATTGCTTTGTATTTGATCCCACTCTCTTTTCAGTGCGGCAAACAATTCTGCCTTATTTTTCGGTCTGAACTTATTTCGCCTAACCCTCCTTTCTAATTCGTCCCACAGATGCTCTATTGGATTAAGGTCAGGACTCTGAGAGGGCCACTCAAGCGAATTAATCGATTGAGATTCCTTCCAATTTTCATACTAATCTTGCTGTATGGCAAGGGGCATTGTCATCTTGAAAAATATATGTTTCATTGCCAAGTTCTTGTAGATAAGGTAACAAGTGTTCTCTCAAGATTTGTCTATATTTGGTGGCATTGATATTTCCTTCAACGGTCCTAGTCTATCCTTACAAAAACATCCCCACACCATTACTCCTTCAGAGTGTTTTACGGTCGGTGCCAAACAGTCTTCCTTATATTTTTCATCAGATAGTCTCCAGACAAGCTTATGCGCATCGTTTTTAAATAATAAATACCTTGACTCATCACTAAAAATTACCTTGTCCCATTCGCCCTTCCAATCCTTTACGTTCTTGCACCATAATACCCGGGTTTTTTTATTCCTTTCGCTAACTAGTGGTTGCCTTTTTGCGACTCTACTGTAAAAGCCATAATAATGTAGTGTACGCTGTACTGTTCTTTTACTTGCTGATATAGTAAGATTTTTATTAAACTCTTCTGTTATCTGGTCAAGTGTTGCGCTTCTATCCTTTTTCGTTACTCTTATCAATTGTCGCTCGTCTCTATCATTAAGTTTTGTGGCCTACCAGAGCGAGGCTGCACTGTGGTGCATTCATCCTCTCTATATCGTTCAATGACACCCTGAACGGCCCCTTTGGAACATTTGAGAATAACAGCTATCTCAGAAAAGCATGCCGCTCTCTGTCGAGGCAATAGTCACGGGAGAGCAGATAACTGCTGTCTCGGTTTGGGATCTAGCTGCGCCGTCATAGGAGTGTGGCTCACCTCAGCGATAGCTAAATCGTAACAAACAGTTAGTGACCTTTAAACCTAGGCTTTCAGTGTTGACGTATCCCCCTGTACGTGTGACACACACTAATCCTAGATAATTAATTATTCTCGAGAAACAAAACTACTCTCTACCGGTGGATTAGTTCGGTAGTCTGTAGGCTGGGGTCTTAATTAGCAAATAATGCGCGCTGCGAAATAATAATTAATTATTCTAATGCCACTCGATCGATTACGAGACAAGTATTACAACCGATCTTGCCGTTATACAGATTAATGCTTTAAAAATATAACGGAATATTCGGGGAAAGAATTATCGTTTCAGAGTAAATGGATACTCGTTTATTAACAAGAAACAAAAATGTAAAGTGGTATCGAACGTCTTCGATAGGAAATATCGTAGCGAACACTCGGATGATTTCTAACTTGGATACTGAGATCACTTGGAACACTTAGAACATTATGAACACACCGATGCTAAGTCTATCCTACGCTGCTTTTATATCTTTTGGACTAAGTAATTAATCTATTTTTAGCATCGGATGACTACTAATTATTCCCTAAATTTATCACTATTCTCTCTTGCTATTGTATTCTGCTGTTATCCAGCGCTTCTAGTGCAACCGCTTCTAGTGCGACCGTAAATTTTAGCACCACCGTTAAAATTCCATCGCCGATCTCTGGCACTAACGGAAATTTAGGAAGGAATACGTCATCGTATATGCTTGCGTCATCACATATCCCAAGTGCAAACCTATAATCATTCCTCGCTCAAAATCAGTGAACTCTAAACTTCGTGGCATTTTTTTAAATTATATAAGTCTAATAAGTTAATAAGTATAAAGAGTAGCTTTTGCCGCACAGAATAAAAAAAAATTCGACTCGATTGAATGAAAACTGAGTGAGTTTTACTATTGACAACTTCCGTCAAAAAAAGTATAAATACGATTCATGTCGATCATTTGATATCGATTACGTAGGGGTGGCTTTACACCCACACCAAGTTTCGATGGTAACATCCTAAAAATTGCAGAAACCTTCAAATGAAAGCACAGCCGTTTAGCTTCAAAATGATATAAATTTTATTTGCAGTTATCTAATAAAGTATAAAGTAATGGCAACTTGAAAAAATCGATTTTTTATATGTTTTACTAGTAAAATCTTGCATCGTATTTATACTTTTGGCACGGGGGTGTATATACTGCAATCGCTGAGAATTTTGTTCCGTAATTTTCTGTACAAAGGGTGAAAAACTCTCAATGGCTGGACATTCGTATTGACTGATGCATGGAATTAACGTCTTTTTCTCCAACACCGACCACAATGTACTGTACAGTACATTCATTTCCCTGTTGATATACACAATAGTAAATAGTATTTTTTGCAAAAAATACAACAGTGGCCAGTGATTTTGCCTTTAACAGTTTCTTTTGTCTGTTTCAGTCCTATATCATGCAAAGATTGGTGATCGAGCGAAAAGTAATTAACGCATATTCCCAACCGCTCTAATTGGTTATTTTTTTTCATGTCTTCAACTGTTGGTTTGTCAATTTCCCAGACACCTATGATATTCGAAATATTTCGCTGGTTTTTCGAATTAAATTTTCCACAACGCTGCATAACTCCATTATCGTCAAACATGATTACGCATGGTGATAGATTTTCTTCCTCCGGTAAATCAATCGTATATTCTTCGTCATCATTCTGATCTGCAATGTCATCTCCAACCTCTTCAGTGTCTTCATATTCCTCGTCGACCTCGCTATCAGAATCATTGTTTTCTAAATTAGGGATGTGTTTGGATCAAATTCGAAAGTGTAGTGATCATCATCTAATAGGAGCTGATGATATCAAAGGAGCTGGTTGTTGAACTGGATGTCCATGTTGTGGCTGTGGATTCTGTGTCTGTGTCTGATTCAATGTGATTGGTTCTTCACACCTGGCTTGGTGAGGTGGCTGATAACATCTGTGGGTAGTTCTCCCCAGTTAGACGCTTCAGCCCATGGCATCCAGAGGGCGACTGCTTTTTGATTTGCCCTCCGGATTTCGAGGTAGGTGTTTGTTTTTATCGAGTTGGTACCTCCAATTGGTCGGTTCTGGCGATAAGTAGTGGTATTGTGCCGTTGTAATGTATCTTGGCCAATAGGATTCCAAGAGTTCGTAGACATCGCTGAATGTGGCCATTTCCTTCTCAGTTTCCTTCGTAATGGTGTAAATGTGTTGAGAGGCTTTGATTTCCAAGTCTCCGAGCTAAGGAGCTCGACAAAATGTTCTGGGGCAAGTAAGAATCCATTAATTTGCATTTCTTGTTGGAGTTTGACTAAAGTGTTTGAGTAAGAGAGTTGTTTCGCAGTTGCTGTTGAAGTATTATTGCTTTCTTGAGTGGCTTGCCTTAATATTTTCACTGCTGTGAAGAGTTAGCGAGGAATATGAAAAATATGCCTGGAAAAACGAAAAAAAGAAGGAATTTTTTCTCATTGATGTGGTCGAGAGTTGGCGTTTATACACTCACTACCAAAAGTATTGGCCGAAATTTGTCGATCAATAGTAAAACATATGAAAAATCCAATTTTTCAAAAATCTGTATTGGCGT